GTTTTAACTACTGGGGCACTGCAAGTAAACACAGGTCTGCAAACGAATGGAGCAGCTGGAGACAGAGAAGAGCTGGAGAATGGAACAGGGGAGTGAACAGTTGCTACAGAGGACTTCTTTACAGGGTTTAAAGGCAGGATAGGTGCAGCGAGTGGGAACAGGGGACTGACATGCGGTAGATAGCAGGGCAGGAGGAGCTGTTGGGAATGCAGGAATAGAGCTTTGAGGAAATAGATTAGAAGCAGGACTGGGTTTTTGCAAGCTGACTGAGGCTGGGTGCAACAAATCTGTCCATGTCTGCAGTATGGGTTGAACAAAGCTGAGCTTACACAAAGCCTGTCTGACCAAAGACTGCACTGCGTTTATACAATCTCTTAGTATCTGTGGTGAACATGCAGAATAACGCTCCAGAAAGTAATCCACATCATCCTCTAATAACCACACCAGGGACTCTACCTGGTCGGCACTAAATGGTGGCAAAAATTCATCCCTGCATTCGGGGGGTACCAGATGAAACCAACTCCGCACAAACCTGAATCAATGGCTGCACCTCAGATAATTCTGTGCCCTGATCTACTAGAACATGAGCGAGCCGTATACATTCTAGCAGTTCATCCCGGGGATACTCCTTCAGAGTTTGATAAGCATATTCTCTGTCATCAAACACTAGCAGAGATAAATACACAACCTCATCAAGATCCATCCTTCCCATCAACAAACCAAGATGGCTTCCCTGTGCAGCCACTTCTGGTCAGGATTGGCCTTGGTGTAATGTCAGGGCTCCCGAGTATGACCAGAGGTATGTGACTGACGCAGGCAAACGCAGACTTCAGATATGTTATAAACAATATAATTTATTAACACTAACAATACAAACATAAACGCAGTGCAATACTAAAACATAACACAGTGCAAACAAACCAAACCAACCACCCACGGATAACAGTACATACAATGCAAGCGTTGTCAGGCAGGCCGGGTCAATAACAATCGGGCAGGTAGGTAAAGGGGGAGCAAGCGGAGAATGGTCGGGGTCACAAGCCAGGTTCATCAGGTAGCGGGCAGCGTGGTACAGAGGGTCAGGCAGAGGGATGGTCAGGAACGAGCTGGGGTCAGAGCAGGAGAGGGTCAGCTTAATCAGAACAGGCAGAGTTTGGCAACAAGGAAACGTACTAGCAGGAACACAGGAACAGGAACAAGAATGCAGGATTACAATATACAGGGCCCAGGAAAAACACACACCAAGGCCAAGACTGCAGGTCTGGCCATCACTTAAATACACCTGCCTAAGCAGTTTCAGGTGTTTGGCTGGCTGCAGGGTTGAGTCTCTGATTGCTGGGAGCACCCGCTGGCCAGCCCTGGTACTGCAGCCCACAAGGCAGGTGAGTCCCACGATTACTGGCAAGTCCATTCCTAACACTTACAGTGGTCTGAAGTCTGCTCGTGGAACGCACGCCGGCCTTGTTAGATTGACTGGCAGCGTTGCGGTTCTTTTAGTCTGCAACTGTCCAGTGCCTGGAGTGGCACTTGTTCATGTGAATGGATCTTTGTCTTGTTTTGTGTTTATTTTAATAAAAGCTACTACGCTATGGGAGGCATCTGTTTTCTTTTTGCATGTGTATTGTCATACATGTTATGAGTTTAACAGGAGATCTTGGAGAGAATGGTCTTTCCTTCAACGTTGAGAAAGAGATCTTGGAGAGACTAGTTTCTCCTTCCATATTGCCTGGTCTATATGATATGCCTGAACTTGATCTGGAGATCCTGGTGGTGCCTATATTGCTTGATTATTTGAAAAGCGTGGATTGAGATTGGATCTGGTAAGCCTCTCATTCTACTGCATGTTGGTGGCGAAGAATTTATTTGTTTATTATATTGGCCACTGGTGTCGGGTGAATAATTGGATTGTTTATAGTTCAAATGGATTTTTAATTAATTTATGGACACTTCACAACATTTTAGATTATAATATTCATTTGTATTTCAATGGTTTTTATTGATTTATAAACATTTCAAGAAAACGTGAGCAAGAAGACACGTCCATGCAGGGGCTATCAATCGCACATAAAAAATAACAAAAACAGCGCTCTAACACCAACAGAGCAAAAGGTACGCCCACGCAGGGGATATCAATGGCACATAGATTACAAGAACAGTGATAAAACACTGATAGTAGCTCAAAGGCAGCTAACCACCTCACAAAAAATGAACAAAAATAGAAAGGAAAGAGAAATAAAAAGGAAGAAGAAAACAAGACCAGGAGCAGGGGTTTGGGAACGCCAATACCGAACACATCACAACCCCAGACTAACCGGGGGGAATGTGGGAAAAGCATAAGTAAACCACGGCTCCCATATTTTAAAAAATTTCCATTGGGAGTCGTTACAGATACTCGACATCTGTTCATTGAGCATCAGAGAGGTCATACAGTCCCTCACCCCTTGAAGAGGGACAGATGGGTTCTTCCATGTCTGAGCAATTGTTCTAGTGGCCGACAAAAACAAATAGGAAGCTAACTTCTGCTGGAGAGCCAACAGGCCTTGTATGGGACAATGAAGCAAGCCGTACCAAGCCTCCCAGCATATGGAGAGATGGAACAATGTGAGAAGGAGGCCAAATACACGAGACCAAAAACAAGTCTCAGGCATGACCACTATATATGCAACACATCACCACGATGACCACAACCTCGAAAGCATTGATCACTGCTGGCAGGGTTCGCCTGGGCCAAATGAGCCAGTACCCAATACCAACGAAACAATACTTTGTAAGCCACCTCCAATGTTATTGTATTAAATGAACATTTAGCTATAAACGACCAGGCCCTATTCCAGTCCTCCAGATCCATGGCCGCCCCCAAGTCACGCTCCCACTAAGCTACATATGAGAGAGAAGTATGAATTGAGCGTCTGTTCAAGCTGCATAAAAAAGGGAGATAAGGCCCGGGGCGCCCAGACGCTGTTGGCAGAGCTGTTCAAAGGCAGATTTCTGATACGAGAAAGTGGAAGAGCCCTGCAGTGAGGTCAGCCAGTGCCGCAGCTGAAGGTAATGAAAAAATACCGCCTGAGGGATATCCCATTGAAAAGACAACTGAAAGGATAACAGAACATCCAAAACTAGTGCCAACAACAGCAAAGGATATACAGGAGGGTGGTGGGAACACAGGCCTTCAAGGAAGCTGATATGACCACCCCTTCTGCAGTGGTGCTCTTCTGGGCAGAGGCAAAGGCCAGTGTTCTGGCCACCTTGGTCAGGTCAAGAGGAGCATGTGGGCTTTCCCATCTGTTTTTTTTTTCCTTTTCAGGGATGACAGACCTGGTAGTAGTGGGAGTCCCTCGGACTCCTGATGTTTACCTGCCCCCTGGTCAAGGTTACTATTGCAAATTGACACATCTGCAGTGGTTTAGGATCGGGAGCAACAAGGTACAGTATGTATGAATGGGCAGTGTTGGAATACCGAGGGGTCCTGAGACAAGACTTTGACAAGGGGATACTAGACTATAAACAACCGGGCACTTTTACCCCTTTCCTGCTCAGGCCAATTTTCAGCTTTCAGTGTTGTCACACTTTGAATGACAACACTGTAATAATAAAAAATTGTTATCATTTTTTCACACAAATAGAGCTTTTGGTGGTATTTATTCACCACTGAGTTTTTTTTTTTTTTTTTTTAACCTCCTAAACTTTTGAAAAAAAAAAGTGCTTGCACACTTTGGTGAGCTGTTGCACCAAGCTGATTGACATGAATCATGGCTCCAACACGAGAGATGTCAGTTGAAACAAAGGAGAGGATTATAAAACGGCTTCAAGAAGGTAAATCCTCACAGAATGTTGCAAAAGATGTTGGTTGTTCCCAGTCAGCTGAGTCTAAAATCTGGTCTAAGTACAAATAAAATGGGAAGGTTGTAAAAGGGAAGCGTACTGGTAGACCAAGGAAGACAGCAAAGCATCAAGATAGAAAACTTCAAGCAATATGCCTTGAAAACAGAAAATACACAACAAAACAAAAGAGGAACAAATGGGCAGAAACTGGAGTCAATGTGACCGAACTTTAAGACACTGACTCCTAAAGGAAATGGGATTTACATACAGAAAAGCCAAATGTAAACCATCATTAACACCGAAACAGAAAAAAACAAGGTTACAATGGGCTAAAGAAAAGCAATCATGGACTGTGGATGACTGGATGAAAGTGAAATTCAGTGAATCATGAATGTGCATTGAGTAGGGTGATGATGCTAGAACTTTTCTTTCTAGCATCATCACTGCAGGGCCAAGCCCTGCAGTGAGGTCAGCCAGTGCCGCAGCTGAAGGTAATGAAAAAATTCCGCCTGAGGGATATCCCTTGACTCCCAAAGAGAATTCCAGGTGGAAAAAGACCAAGAAGTCAAAGAGTGCTGCACCTGCAAAAAACCATTGGCCACCCACCAGGAGAACGCCCTTGGTTAAACCCGGCAGGAAAAGAGGGTTGTTAATAATGGGGAGCAAGGGTAGGAAAGGTGACATCAAGCCACCGGAGTAGCGTACTGAGGCCCACACTTGTAGGCCATGTAGCATAATTGGACTCAGTGTCAGTGGGAGTAGAGTAGGGGGAGCCCAAGACCTCCCTGGAGTCTATGAACAAAAACTGTGTTTCTAGAGACTCTGTGGCGCCTATTGGCCCAGAAAAATTGCATAATCCTCGCCTGAAGCAATTGAAGAAAATGAGGAGGAACTGGCACTGTGAGGGTGTGAAAATAGTACAATTTAGCCAAGATGGTCATTTTCACTGAATTGACCCATCCTATACAAGACAGGTGCGGAAATTGCCAGGAGTGCATAAGAGAGGACACAGAGCGAAGCAAAGGGTAATAATTTACAGCAAACAACGAGCCATAGGTGGGGGTCAAGCGAATGCCTAGGTATTCAAGTGAAGAGGAGGCCCATTTGTAAGGAAACTGGGCTTGTAGGCAAGAAACCAAATCTGAGGTCAAAGTAATATTGAGAGTGACAGTGTCAGAGCCTGGGTCCAAACCTGGGCCTTCTGTGGTGAGTGGCAATGTTTCTTCTTACTGAGCCACCTTGAATGCTGGACAGCAACCTTGACAAGTATTTGGATGATCCTACCTTGAACTTGTTTATCCTGAACCTTGAACCCTTGCTCCTCCCATTAAATTCCTGATATAAGCCATGTCTCTGCACTTCCTGTTTGCCAGATTATCGTGCTCCTTATCGTCTCTTCTGTTATCCGTATTTTGCTATCACTCATTATTGACCCTTGGCTTGTTCTCGACTACGCTTCTGCCTGATCCCAACCTGCGACTGCTCCTTACCGACCTTGGCTTGTTTACTGACCACACTTCCGTTTGATCCTTATACGCTACTGGACCTCCGCTTGCTCACCTCCTGGTGGGGTGATTCTGAGGACCGCGACCTGGTGCTAACACGCAGCCAAATCCATCTCCACCATCAGGAGCTCTGGTGAAAACTGGTTGGTACTTAGACTCCTCACCTTGGGTGATCCCACTCCTCCGCCACGGTGACCTGCCTGTGTACCTATCCTGCTGCTTTCAGGTAAGCCTTTCCACTGCTATAGCAACTGGTCTTTGAGCCTGACCCCTGATCTTGACAGAATAATCTGGCCCAAACATGGAGGCCACTATAGCAAACATTGTGGCTCCTCTTAGGCAGCAAATTGCTAAGCTGCAGGAATTCGAGGTTACCCATCAAGAAAAAGCTGCCAGACTAGAGAGCATAGTGGATAGGCAACAGGGAGAGATTCATACTCTGCAGAGACAACTGCTGAACTGAGATGATACTAACTCACATATGCCCCAGCCCCAACCATCTAAGTTTAATGGAGACCACCGCCACTACAGGGGTTTCCTTAATCAATGTCGTATATATTTCCAAATGCACCCTGCTGCATTTCCTTCAGAGAAAAATAAGGTAATGTTTATTATTTGACTTCTGACTGGGGAAGCTCTAGCTTGGGCTTCCACTTATATAAAACAAGACAATGGCACTCTGAATAATTTTGGTCCCTTTTTGACCGCAGTGAATCAAGTTTTTGATGATCCCAACCGTTGTGCTACTGCCGAAGCAAAGTTGCATAGTCTGCGGCTGGGTAAACGCTCGGTCGCTGAATACACAGCCGAATTCAGATGTTGGATCACAGCTACCACTTAGAACCCTGCAGCACAAAAAAGCCAGTTCCGCCAAGGGCATTCTGAACAGGTAAAGGATGAGCTTGGCAGAGTAAATATCCCTAATGATCTTGAGGAATTCATCCAATTATGTATCCGAATTGATCAAAGACTTACAGAAAGGAGGAAGGAGAAGCTGGAAATGTTTGGAAATAAGTGACTGCATCTCTCTGCTAGTCCATTTTTTCAACAGGATTGAAAAGTCTCTCTGGGTTCTAACACTCCCGAGCCTATGCAGTTTGCTGCTATCAAGAGATCCATTTCCATTCAGGAGAAAGAGAGAAGACGTTCAGAGAACTTATGTCTATATCGTGGGGACTCTGGTCATTATGCAGTTAATTGTCCTAACAAAGTTAGAAGAACAATTTCTATGGCTGGTGTGATTGTGCCTGAACAAATAAACTCTATTAGCCAGTCTGTCTGCCCACTAATTCCTGAAGAAAATAAAGTGAACTCTCTACTCTCTCATTTTGTCATCCCCATTAAACTTGTCTTCCGATGGCTGTGAAATCTCCTGCTCAGCTATGCTGGACTCCGGGGCTGGGGGGAACTTTATGGATATAGAATTTGCCCACAACAATAAAATAATACATTTATCCCTATTGAGATGGAGACAGTTGATGGTTCACCCTTATCTTCAGGACCTGTAACCATAAAACGGTTCCCCTGGTACTGCAGTTTGAGGCTGACCATTGTGAGACTATCAGCTTTCAGCTGATTATGTCACCCAAGTTTCCTATCATCCTGGGCATTCCTTGGTTCTCCACTCACAATCCTTCTATCAACTGGGGAGCATGGACTATAGATTTTATGTCCCCCCCCCCACTGTGAAAAATATTGTAAGAAACTTTGTCGACCAAGTTCTTCACCGGCCAAGGAATTGCAAAGTGATATAGTAGCTATCCAGTCATATGATAACTTGCCTCCACAATACCATGAGTTCCGGGATGTCTGTAACAAGAAAAATGCAGATCAATTACTTCCTCATTGCCCATATGATTGTCCCATTGAGCTGCTCCCAGGGGCAGAAATACCTTTTGGCCACCCTTTTCAATCTGTCGGAACCTGAATTAAAAGTGCTCAGGGAGTGGATCGATGAGAATTTAGAGAAGGGCTTTATTAGACACTCAACATCTCCTGCAGGAGCAGCCCTGTTCTTCGTTGAAAAGAAAGACTCCACATTGCGTCCATGCATTGACCACAAAGACATGAATAAAATCACTATTAAAAACCACTATCCACTACCCTTGATCTCTGACATGTTGGAAAGACTTTGTTCTGCCAAAATCTTTACAAAGCTTGATTTACGAGGGGGAATATAACCTTGTCTGCATTCTTCAAGGAGACGAATGAAAAACCGCCAGGTATGGGCATTTCGAGTCCTTGGTTATTCCGTTTGGACTTTGCAACGCCCCTGCAAGTTTTCAGCATTTCATCAACGATATTTTTTCGTGATCTGTTGGACCAATTTGTAATTGCTTATCTGGATGATATTCTTATCTTTTCCGATAATTGGGAGGAGCAGTACAAACATGTTTGCACTGTCTTTGAAAGATTAATGAAGAATAGACTCTACATTAAATTGGAGAAATGCGAATTTTAACAAACCCAGATCCAGTTCTTAGGCTATATCATTTCTCCAGAGGGAGTGAGCATGGATTTCGAGAAGATCAAAGAAGTGATAGATTGGTCAGCACCTGGAAATGTTAAGGAAATTCAACGTTTCGTCGGGTTTGCCAACTTCTACAGAAAATTTATAAGAAACTTTTCTAAGGTGATCACTCCAATTACACAGCTGACAAAGAAAGCTGAAAAAGAAAGGGGTACCCTTCAAGTGGACCCCTGAGGCACAGGCTGCGTTTGGAAAGCTAAAAACTCTTTTCACTTCTGCATCAATTTTGGTTCATCCCGATCCTGAATTTCCCTTTATGGTGGAAGTGGATGCTTCTGATTCTGCCGTGGGAGCTATCCTGTTTCGGCAAAGTGATGAAAAGATGCAGCTTCATCCTTGTGCCTACTTCTCTCATTTGATGTAGTCAGCCGAAAAGAATTACGACATTGGGAATAAAGAGTTACTGGCAATTAAGGAAGCCTTTTCTGAATGGAGGCATCTGCTGGAAGGTGCTAATCATCCTGTAACTGTTCTCACTTACCATACAAATCTGGAATTCATTCACTCGGCCAAGAGATTGTCTTCTAGACAAGCACGTTGGTCTTTATTCTTTTCCAGATTCAATTTTATTAAATCATATTGACCTGGATCGAGGAATGATAAGGCCAATGCCTTATAAAGGATGCTGTCTGAGCCTCCCCAGGAGGGCAACTCTGAATGTTCAATCCTAACTCAAAAGAACTTCCTAGGGGCCACAAGTACGAAGACATTCTTGAGTCTTCTCAAAGAGGGGTATGAGAATGACCCACTTCTCAATGATCCTCCTAAGGACATTAACCTTGAATACAAGGACGGCTTTTGGACTCAAGCTCATCGTCTCTATGTACCTGAGTCTGCTCGGGTGGAAGCCCTCTAATTAGTTCATGACTCTAAACTTGCAGGACATTTTGGGATTTCAAAGACAGATGAACTTTTGTCATGTTCCTTCTGGTGGCCTAGTTATAGGAAAGATATCAAATGCTACATGGCCTCCTGTCTGACGTGCGCACGTCATAAGACACCCTGTGCTTCTCCTTTGGGGTTGCTCCAGCCACTTCCTGTTCCCTCAAGACCTTGGGGGTCAATTTCTATGGACTTTGTAGTATAATTACCTCCCTCAAAAGAAATGACCACCATCTTGGTAGTCGTTGACCATCTTACTAAGATGGCTCATTTTATACCTGTTAAGGGGGTACCTTCTACTGAACAAACTGCGGAGTTGATGGTTCGAGATGTTTTTAAACTACATGGAATTCCTGATGATGTGGTATCTGCCAGAGGAGTACAGTTTACATCAAAATTTTGGAAAAGCTTTTGTTCAGCTTTAGGGATAACAAGTTTATCTGTCCTCTGCTTTTCATCCGCAGTCTAATGGTCAGACCAAGAGGACCAATCAAACTTTGGAGCAGTACCTTCGGTGCTTTGTCAGTTATCTTCAGGATGACTGGGTGGACTATCTACCTACAGCAGAGTTTGCCTATAACAATGCTAAACATAGCTCCACCTCCCAAAGCCCTTTTTTCCTCAATACGGGGTATCATCCAGTTTTTATTCCTGATCTCCCTACTGCAATTCAAATTCCTGCTGTTGCCAACAGATTAACTACTTTGCAGGAAATTCAGGAGAAGTTGATTGAGACTTTGGGGGAGGCTCAGGAATGTTATAAAAAGACTGCCGACAGACATCGCAGATCACTTCCTACCTTTCATGTGGGCGACAAGGTTTATCTATCAACCAAAAATCTGAAGGTTCATGTTCCATCTGCAAAGTTGGGCCAAAAGTTTGTGGGACCTTTCCAGATTTCTGCTCAGATCAACCCAGCCACCTTTTGCTTAAAACTTCCTGACAATATGAAGATTCACCCTGTTTTTCACGTATTGCTATTCAAACCATTTCATGAAAATCCTTTCTCTGGAAGAATTCTTCAACCTCCTCCACCTGTTGAGGTACAGGATGAAGAAGAATATGTGGTGGAGAAGATTCTTGACTCTAGGATGTTTAGAGGAAAATTGCAATATCTTGTCCAATGGGAAGGATATGGGCATGAGGAGAATTCTTGGGAGCCTGGGGAAAATGTTCATGCTCCTAGATTAACCAGAGAATTCCACCAGAGGTTTCCCCACAAGCCTGGTCCTAAGACATCCAGGGGATGTCCTGTGAGGAGGGGAGTACTGTCAGAGCTTGGGTCCAAACCTGGGCCTTCTTCAGTGAGTGACAATGTTTCTTCTTGCTGAGCCACCTGGAATGCTGGACAGTTACCTTGACAATTATTTGGATGATCTTACCTTTACCTTACACACAGAATCCTCCTGCGCTCTTATGAGATATAACAAAGAGAAATCATGAAATCATGAAATACTAAAAAGCTGCTAACATCTAATCCTACACCAATAGGCCCCAGAGACATAAAAAACAACAATAAACTGATGTAGCGCTCATATAAAAAATAATGATATGGTGACCACACAGTGAAACACACACGTCACAGGTCCTAATAAGGACCATATATGGTGAATGGTCTAAACCAGGGGGTGTCCCCCAATCCACATGGGGATGATAGACTCGTGACCCCCCTAGTCCACAATGAGGGACATAAGCAGATATTCAGTGAGTCCCTACACAGGGATCAAATGCTTCAGTGTGAGTGAAAACCAGCACTGCAAATCAATCAGCAAAATAGTCCAGTGATCTGTGTCACATTCCTTCTGGTCATGCAAAAAGGGAGGAATGTGTGTAAACCAACACACCCTG